AGCGCTCTTATTGACATTGGTCCCCCAGCACTCCTATTGATATTGGTCCCCCCAACGCTCTTATTGACATTGGTCCCCCAGCACTCTTATTGACATTGGTCCCCCAGCTCTCTGGCTCTTTCAGCCTTAGATACAGCACCTCACTGCAAAGGCCCACTCCTTGCCTCTAGATAGGGTTCTCCTAGCTCCTCGGGCCCTCTCATTTAAAAGACTTACAGAATCCCTCCAGTCCGATGGACTTGCTAGTGGCCTCAGTCCTGCAGACTAGCGCTGCTGTCCTGACTCTCCCAGTCTTGCGGGTAAGGGATCTCTCCAACATGGAGTCTCATCTCACAAGTGGATCACCTCTTCTGGCTGGAGCACACCTCTATCTCCACAGCCTAAGCTACGGTCAGCTCCTGCTTATGACGAGTGTGTACACCTGGACACACATCCAACCTACAGGTCTCCAGGAAGATCTGAACACAGGTTTGAAGGCTTCATCCCAGCCATGACACTTTGGAGCCTTCAAGCTAAAGACCCTGATCCCAGATTACAAAATCCAAACAACACTGAAAGCCTGACTTCACTCAGATACAATACTACAGAGCTTTGCAATTTACTTTTATGTGAAGTCTATGTGTTCCTTGCCTATCCTCACACAGTGGCAGGGCCTAGCACTGTCACAAAATATAAATGGTTGAGGTGATTGGAGTCATATTAGTGCATTTGCAGCAACACAGTAAAGTACTGTTTATATCACTTCTCGGCCTTTTGGCTAAGATCAAGTGTAGTATCTGTTCTTATCAGTTTAATATCTGATACGTTCTCGATCTGGGGACCATATATTAAGTGGATTTTTAGAACAGGTTGATGGAAGAAGAGCTTTCTCTGTCCACTCCATGCATTGACCTGGTATTGCAGTACCTCCAGGACCAGAATAAAAACAATACTATCTATGATACAGACAAGAAGAAAGTAGATCCTAAAAAATAAACTCTTAGTCCATAGAGATGGTGTCATTTCTGCCATCACCAAGGGGAATCTAAATACAGATTTTATTTATGGTGGTATTTTATTTTTACGATGGTGTGCACCCCACCCCAGTAATAGTTTTGTCCTCTTTATGTTCTACAACAGTGGTCTCCAAACTGTGGCCTGCAGGCCAGATATGGCCCTTTGTGTGCCTAGCACTCCATCCATTGACATCAATGATGGGGCACATTCCATTGACTGGCACCAATGACGGAGCACCATTCCTCCCATTGACACAAATGATGGGGCGCTATTCCTTCAATTAAAACCAATGATGCGACATTGTTTACTTCCACTGATGCTGGGGAAATTTCTACTCTGGCTGACCATAGTCTAGGCCCCTTAAAGCCTGAAGGACAGTAAACTGGCATCAATGATGGGGCACATTCCATCTTTGACACCAATGATGGAGCACCATTCCTACTGATACCAATGATGGGGTACCATTCATCCTACTATCAATGATGGGGCACCATTCCTCCCACTGACACCAATGATGGGGCCTTATTCCTCCCACCGACACCAACGATGGGGCACTATTCCTCCCACTGACATCCATGGAGCACTATTCCTCCCACTGACACCAATGATGGGGCACCATTCCTGCCACTGACATCAATGATGGGGGCACATTCTATCTTTGACACCAATGATGGAGCACCATTCCTACTGATACCAATGATGGGGCACCGTTCATCCTACTATCAACGATGGGGCACTATTCCTCCCACTGACACCAATGATGGAGCACCATTTCTCCCACTGACATCAATGATGGGGCACCACTGCTCCCACTGACATCCATGGAGCACTATTCCTCCCACTGACACCAATGATGCGTCACCATTCCTGCCACTGACATCAATGATGGGGCATCATTCCTCCCACTGATACATTGGGTCACTATTCCTCCAATTAAAACCAATGATGGGACATTGTTTACTTCCACTGACGCAGGGGCATTTTCTACTTCCACTGGCCATAGTCTGGGCCCCCTAAAACCTGAAGAACAGTAAACTGACACTTTGTTTAGAAAGTTTTGAGATCCCTGCTCTACATGGACAATTTCATGTTGGTGACTCCAATGAAAAAGCGGGCATCCAAGAGGCGCTGGAACTTTGGTAAGAGTTTAAACAAGGTAGTGAGAGGGCATAAAACATTTGAAGAACCCACTGGCTCAGGTTAGGCTGCTCACAACAGAAAGAGCTAACCTCCAGTGGGTACTCTAGCAGGCTACCAGAAGAAGACATGCAATTTAATTTTGGTGTCATACTCACCTTTCCTGGGATCCAGCACTAGGTCTCCAGTACAAGGTTTTACCCAGAGAACTGGTACAGCAACCAATCAGCAGGCAGCTCTCCCAACTTGTGCCTCGACTAGTCAGGAAACAGCTCTCCAGACTGGTGCTGCCTCAATTTGCAACATGTGGCTTGGCGTTAGAGGAATATGTCGCAATTCCCGAGTGCATTGCATAATCCACCAAAACATGGTCAGCAAAGAGACATCCCAAGAGAAACCCATGGAGAAAAGCTTGGAGTCCACGCACTGCTCATCAGGACCTCACCTGTGTGAAGGTCTTTATTGTTTTTATTGTCCCAATCAATCTGTAAGGTTTCCCACCAAAACTTGGTCAGCATAGAGACAACCGCACAGAAACCTATAGAGAAAGGCTTGAAGTCCATGTTCTGTTCATCATGACATCACCTGTGTGGAAGTCTTTATTGTCCCAAACAATCTGTAAGGTGACACCACTACAATTTTCCACCAAAACTTGCCATTGGGACCTCACTTGTGTGGAGGAACTTCCAATTCTATGCATTTCCACTAACATGGTCAGCACAGAGACATCCTAAGAGAAAACCATGGAGAAGGGCTTTAAGTTCATGTTCTTCCCATGAGGACCTCACTTGTGTGGAGGAACTTCTCATCTTGAGAGTGATCCTCACAAACAATACCTAAGGGGACACAGCTACATATTTCCACCAAAACTTGGTTAGCATAGAGTTATCCCAACAGAAACCCACAGAGAAAGGCTTGGAGTCCATTTTCTGCTCATCATGAACTCACCTGTGTTGAGGTCTTTATTGTCCCAATCAATCTGTAAGGTGATACCACTACACTTTACTACCAAAACTTGGTCCGCATAGAGACAACCGAACAGAAACCTATAGAAAAAGGCTTGAAGTCCATGTTCTGCTCATCATGACCTCACCTGTGTGGAGGAACCTCTCCTCTCGGAATCTGTAATTGTACCAATCAATCTGTAAGAGGTCACATCTATGCATTTCCACTAAAACATGGTCAGCACAAAGACATCCCAAGAGAAACCCATGGAGAAGGGCTTTGAGTTCATGTTCTTGCCATGAGGACCTCACTTGTGTGGAGGAACTTCTCATCTTGAAAGTGATCCTCACAAACAATACCTAAGGGGGCACAGCTACACATTTCCACCAAAAGTTGGTTACCATAGAGTTATCCCAAAAGAAACCCATGGAGAAAGGCTTGAAGTCCATGTTCTGCTCATCATGACCTCACCTGTGTGGAGGAACTTCTCCTCAGAATCTGTAATTGTACCAATCAATTTGTAAGGGGTCACTTCTATGCATTTCCACTAAAACATGGTCAGCACAGAGACATCCTAAGAGAAAACCATGGAGAAGGGCTTTAAGTTCATGTTCTTCCCATGAGGACCTCACTTGTGTGGAATAACTTCTCATCTTGAGAGTGATCCTCACAAACAAAACCTAAGGGGACACAGCTACATATTTCCACCAAAACTTGGTTAGCATAGAGTTATCCCAACAGAAACCCACAGAGAAAGGCTTGGAGTCCATGTTCTGCTCATTATGAACTCACCTGTGTTGAGGTCTTTATTGTCCCAATCAATCTGTAAGGTGATACCACTACACTTTACTACCAAAACTTGGTCCGCATAGAGACAACCAAACAGAAACCTATAGAAAAAGGCTTGAAGTCCATGTTCTGCTCATCATGACCTCACCTGTGCGGAGGAACCTCTCCTCTCGGAATCTGTAATTGTACCAATCAATCTATAAGGTGACACATGTACACATTTCCTCCACAACTTGGTCAGCATAGAGACAACCCAACAGAAACCCAGAGAGAAAGACTTGTGAATAAAAAAAACCCTGGAGACTGGGAGAATCATTTATTAGTTTATTGTGACAAAGGTACAATCGGCTGTTTATTCAGATATCTATGTACACTCAGCTATTAGGAAGATGTCAATGAGTAATGGCTCCATCCTGAGAGATCCACATACTGCACCCAATAAACAGTCCCCCTCACATTGAGTGAGGGAAACATCGACAAGTGTTGCTTTGTAGAACACTTCCATACCTTCATCCAGCAGTGGTGACCTTTCCGAAGCCTAAAATGATTGGAAGGTTACATCTTCTGAAGTATTTCCTGCAAAGGCTGAGGAACTTCATGAGGCTAAAGCTTGTTGTTTGAGTTTGTTTCGGAAGAAATGGGTTTCGTTTTTGCGGCCACGGAGAATTAATCATTATATATTATATATATATGCAACATCTATAGTTTGAACCTGAATAGAAAGGGGTCTACTGTGCTAAGGGAAATATTCCTGGGGTTAGGTGGGTAGATAAAATGGGTTGAAGGGAAGGTCTTTGAGGGTAATAGAGTAGATAAGGGGATAAAATATTGGAACACGGTCCATAGAAAAGATGGAGGTGCCTTTCTCTATGATAGATGTGATCTGAAAAGTGAGCAGGAAAGATGGTCTTCCTTTCTCTTACTTTTGAAGCTTCTGCTGAAGAGCAGGGGAGATCAGATTGCACAGCTGAAGCAACTCACTCCGCATGACTTTTGAATAACATTTCCCGCACTCAGGACTGTAATGCGGCTCCTCTCCCATGCGTGCTGTGATGTTTGGCAAGATCTGATTTACGTACAAAACTTTTCCCGCACTCAGGGCAGGAATGTGGCTTCTCACCGGTGTGGCATATCTGATGTACTGTAAGATTCGACTTGTCTGCGAAACATTTCCCGCAATCAGAGCAGGAATAAGGCTTCTCGCCTGTGTGGCTTCTCCGATGTATAGAAAGATAAGACCTCTGCGAATAAGATTTACCACAGTCCGGACAGGAAAACGGCTTCTCCCCCGTGTGAGTCCTCTGATGTGCAGTGAGATCGGGTTTACGTTGAAAACGTTTCCCGCACTCAGGACAGGCATACGGCTTCTCCCCCGTGTGAGATCTTTGATGCGCAACAAGCTCTGATTTCCAAGGAAAACATTTCCCGCACAAGGGGCAGGCATGCGGCTTCTCACCCCTGTGGTCTTTTTGATGGACCGAAAGACTGGACTTCCGTGCAAAACATTTTCCGCACTCGGGACAGGAGTATGGCCTCTCGCCTGTGTGAGTCCTCTGATGTGTGTTAAGTTCTGACTTCCGAGAATAACATTTCCCGCACTCAGCGCAGGAATACGGCTTCTCGCCCGTGTGAGATCTTTGATGTACAGAAAGGTAGGACTTCCGTGAAAAACATTTCCCACACTGAGGACAGGAATATGGCTTCTGCCCCGTGTGGCATATCTGATGTCTGACAAGTTCTGATTTCATTGGATAACACTGACCGCAGTCGGGACAGGAAAACGGCATCTTGCCGGTATGGAATACCTGGTGTCTGAAAAGTTGGGATTGCCACAAAAAACTTTCCCCGCACTCGGTACAAGAATATGGCTTCTCCCCCGAGTGACATCTCAGATGCATGACAAGTTGCGATTTGCGTGCGTAACATTTCTCGCACTCGGGGCAGGAAAACGGCCTCTCCCCCGTGTGGGAAATTTGGTGCCTCTCTAAATTTGACTTGGTGACAAAACCTTTCCCGCACTCAGGACAGGAGAACGGCTTCTCGCCTGTGTGAGACCTCTGATGGATGACCAGTTGTGGTTTCGTCGGGAAAAACTGTCCGCACTCCGAACAGGAATACGGAAGCTGCCCCGAGAGTGACACCTCAAATGGACACGAAGACTGGACTTGAAACGAAACTGTTTCCCACATTCAGTACAGGGATAGGACTGCTCACTGGAGTGGGATCTCAAATGGACGTGGAGACTGGAATTAAAACGAAAACGTTTCCCACACTGAGTGCAGGAATACGGCCTCTCACCCGAGTGGCACCTTAGATGAACACGAAGGCCGGATTTAAAGTGAAAACGTTTCCCGCACTCAGGACAGGAATACCTTTTCTCTGCTTGAAGGACGGCACCGTCCTTCACAGTCTGAGGTTCCTCAGAGTGAGAGGAATACGATGGTCCATCTAGACTGGGTGGCACTGGTTGGGCGTTTCTTGTAAAGAAGTCTTCTCCTGGACTATACTGTGTGATGTCCTCATCTTCCACTTTACAGTCTGCAGACAAAGTGAGACAATCCTCGGAGGTTTTCTTGATGTGTCGTCCATCTACTAAAAACATATAGTAGTTATTTTGTACTCATCGTATAAATTCATTTTTTGGAGTCCATTGAGGGACACAGGAAGTCTTAGATTGCAGGGTTTACGGCCATCTATGGGAATACTGGCCAGGAGAACCTCTCCTACTGCCAGCATGCCTCCATTAGCAGCAAAGCAGTACCAAGAGCAGCCTTTCTTAACCTTTTCAACACAGAGGAACCCTTGAAATAATTTTCCGGTCTCAGGGATCCCCTGCCAAAACAGTTCTATATCTACAACTCATGATACATTGGTGTGATGGTCAGCGGGAGGAACGTTCCTCACACTTGTGGTTATTGAGCAGAATTGCCCCCTTATAGATGGCTAAAACGACCACCGGCGTCAGTGGAAACTTATCTGAGGGGCAGAAATTGCTCCAGGAACCCCTAGCAACCTCTGGAGGACCCTAGGGTTCCCACATTTGTAGGAATTGGGAAGAATTACCCCCCTTACAGATGGCTAAATAAATCAATGGTGTCAGTGGGAACTTATCTGAGAGGCATAAATTGCTCATTGATCAAGGGACCCCTATCAACACCTGATGGACCCTAGGGTTCCATGGAAACCTGGTTGAGGAAGGATGCTCCTTACATTTGTGGGCATTGGGAAGAATTACCCCCCTTACAGATGGCTAAAAAAAAAAAAAATCAATGGTGTCAGTGGGAACTTATCTGAGAGACAGAAATTGCTCATTGATCAAGGAACCCTATCAGCCTTTGAAGGACCCTAGGGTTCCATGGAAACCTGGTTGAGGAAGAATGCTCCTTACATTTGTGGGCATTGGGAAGAATTACCCCCCTTACAGATGGCTAAAATAAAATCAGTGGTGTCAGTGGGAACTTATCTGAGAGGCAGAAATTGCTCATTGATCAAGGAACCCCTATCAACCTTTGAAGGACCCTAGGGTTCCATGGAAACCTAGTTGAGGAAGGATGCTCCTTACATTTGTGGACATTGGGAAGAATTACCCCCCTTACAGATGGCTAAAAAAAATCAATGGTGTCAGTGGGAACTTATCTGAGAGGCAGAAATTGCTCATTGATCAAGGAACCCCTATCAACCTTTGAAGGACCCTAGGGTTCCATGGAAACCTGGTTGAGGAAGAATGCTCCTTACATTTGTGGGCATTGGGAAGAATTACCCCCCTTACAGATGGCTAAAAAAAAAAATCAACGGTGTCAGTGGGAACTTATCTGAGAGGCAGAAATTGCTCAAGGAACCCCTATCAACTTTTGAAGAAACTCTTGGAATCCAAAGAACTCTGGTTGAGAAACCTTTGTTGCTCAATTGACTCCAAGAAATAGATTTTATGGAGAGTAGAAACATCCTATTTCTTTCTCCTCTACTGAGGGACATGGGAAACCTTGTTCAGATGTCTAGAAGCAGTCCAACTGAGGGGTGGGCAACAGCAAATGAAAGGCTAACTAGACCACAAAGAACAAACACAGAGGTTAAGGAGGAGGACTCAAGGGAGCCTACAGCACTGTTTGAATGACCTTAAGTCAGCATCAGCTGAGGCATCAACATAGGCCAGGTAAAACTTAATGAATATGGACAGAAGACCAGGTGGCAAACTGCTTAAAAAGCCACCTGAAGGACCTTTGCTGGCTTTAGATGAGGGCTCAGCATCCACTTGGTTGGACTTGGAGAACATGTGAACAGAAGACAACCTGTAGCTCAAAGAGCCACCTGAAGGACCTTTGGCACCAAGCTGGCATTACATAAGGACTCAACATCCACCTGGTAGGACTTGGAGAACGTGTGAACAGAAGACAAGGTGGCAACCTATAGCTCAAAGAGCCACCAGAAGGACCTTTTTTAGGCCAAAACTGGCTTTAGATGAGGACTCAAAATCCACCTGGTAGGACTTGGAGAACATGTGAACAGAAAAACAGGTGGCAAACTACAGCTCAAAAACCTTTGGCTCAAAGCCGGCTTTAGATGAGGACTTGAAAATCTGAGAAAACAGTAGTCTGATGCCGAGGAGCCCAAGAAACCCAAGATCTAGTGCCAATGTGCCTTGACGGAAGACATGGCACCTGATTCTTAAGACTATAAGCTTGATTGATGGTCTGTCTGAGCTACGGAGAAATGGTGTTCACTATTATGGGGACCATCAAGGATGAAACAAGAGAGCCAGATTTACAAATGGAAACAGTGGCTGAATGTTATGTATCTACACTGGATGAGGCGGAAGGAAGGAAGGGAAGGGGGAGGGAAGAAAGTTTTGGACCTCAACACCACTTTGTCCTTGTGACTAGAAATGTTCTTCACAGGATAAGGCCACCGGCTCAGATGCTCTACAGGGGAGCCAACACGGGGAGTTCCGCTGCACTCTGAACAACAGCCAAAGGATGTGAAGCCAGCAGTCTCTGGAACAAGGTTGCAAGCAGGGGGGTGCGTTCCACATTAGTAATGGCCAAAATGTTCTAGTTTAATTTGGGAAGGATGGTTAGGTAAGAATAAGGCACTTGGGATCGGAGAGGGTCATGGTGGCTCAGTTGTGGTTGGTAGCTCAGGTAAAGATTCTGCAGGGGAAGGTATGGAAGTCAGAATCATAAGTAAATGTTCTAGGATGGAATTGCAGAGGTGGGCACACCCCTCTGTACTAAAGGAGGACTCCGAGCATGGAAAAAACTCAAGCAGGGGGCAAAATTCCAGACTGTCGATGTCAGGCACCTTGGGGTGGGGGGGCACAACAGACAGCACTGGAACCATTAGTAGAATGTGTGCAAGAGCCTCCTGGTGCAGTAGGACTTTCCCCCATGTTTCTAGAACCAGGCGTGTTCTACTGCAAGGCAGACACAACCAAACTCGGGGTATGAGGCTAGACCTCAGATACTCAGGAACCTGGTTGATTGGGTATCAGGAATAGGGTCAGGAGGGAGGTATCGGAGAATAGAGTGGCACTAGCTATCGCTCTGACAGTCTATTCTAAGATACCTTCCAAATATATACCCGGCTTGGGAACCTTTTCCCATTTAATAGCATGTAGCAACAGCCCTGAAGAAGGGGGAAGTCCTTTCCCTCAAAACACCTTGGCTCAATGTACTTGTCACTACTTTCAACAAACACCTTTTAACCTATCTTCTAATTCACATTCTTTTGGACACCAGGCGCTCCTTCCTTTCCACTTTTCCAAGTCTACACACAGAAATGACCATAAGGCCGTACCAAAAAGGCAGCAGCCCAAACCTGAAGAGGTTTCACCATTATCTAATACAGGACACAACTTGCAGAAGGAACTCCTTCCTATCTTGCCCACGCATCCACCCACCCATGACCAGCAAATGATCCAGTCGGTGTAAAGTGCTCTCAAGAACAAACAAGATATGGTAAAGTTGCAGGAAGTGGGAATTTTAAATGGTACCCACAAGTCCTAGTAGCGAGGTAGATCCCAGTTTTTGACCTTAATGGTCCACTCACAAAGTGAGTCTTCAGAGATGGGGTCACCTGGGGATGCACCATGGACCAACACAGTGCACTCAGGTCTGGAAAGTTCCACAAAGAAGAGTCTAGTGTTTGAAGGTCATATTTCAGGTTACTCCATGATCCCCCTCAAGTCCAGTGGGGTTCCTGTGTGGTCACGCTGAGAAATGGGTGATCCTGAAAGCTGTATATAGACACCTATTCACAAAGTGAGTCCTCAGAGATGGGGTCACCTGGGGACGCACCATGGACCAACACAGTACGCTCAGGCATGCCAAGCTCCACAGTGCAGAGCCTAGTTCTTGAGGGTCATATTCTAGGCTACCCTATGATCCTCCAAGTCCAAACGGGTCCAGGAAAGAGGTTGCATGAAAAAACGCAGGGGATGATGTCAGCACTGGATCCCTCAGAGATAGCCTCTTTCACGGTAAGATGGAAGGAAGTGGGAAATTTAAACAGTGACCACAAGTCCTAGGAGCGCGGTATCTCTTGGTTCTTGGCCTCAATGGCCTACTCTCAAAGTGAGTCTTCACAGACAGGGTCACACCTGGAGTGGTACCATGGACCAACACAGTGTATTCAGGTCTGGAAAGCTCCGCAATGTAGAGCCTGGTGCTTGAGGGTCACATTGCTCATTATCCTCCAAGTCCAGGAGAGTCCCAGTATGGCCGCCAAAGTCTAGCTGAGAAAAGGTTGATAGCTTCATATAGAAACCAGCTTAGCAGCGATGACATGGGAATCCTTTTGACTGAACAAAATGGTAAGTGCCAAAGGTTGGATTTCACTCAGCATCCTCCTAGGACACTAGCGAACACTGGAAGTAGAGGGGTTTCCTAGACTGTCCCACATTTTGCCAGTGTTCAGTGCCCTTGTGGGCAGTAGTTATAACCCAACAGCCTAAGACTTTCTGTGTCCCTCAATGGATAAGAAAGAATAAAAGATTTTGGTAGACATGAGCATTGAGATTTTGACTTGTCACTCATTATCACTTGAAAGTTAAGGTTCCATACCCAAAGGAGGCTGAGATGGAGGCACTGTGCATAGTGGTGAAGTGGGAAGAAGGGAAAATCTGTGACCAGCGGACATGTTGGGTTGTGCAAAAAAAAAATCCAGAAGCTGGGTATGAGGTGGGTAGGATGGAAATGCTTTCCTGGGGTGCAAGGTGAGTTTGAGGGTGATGCTATGATCCGGGGGCAAGGTGAGTGGGAGGGAAATGCTGAGACCTGGGGAGAGGGGCTGAGGTGGGTAGGCAGACATTGAGAGCTGGGGGCAAGGTGAGCTGGAGATTCTGACAATGGATTTAGTGTTCATGACCCACCTGTGCTGATCTCTGTAGTAGTGTCCTCCTCTATAAATGTCCCCGTTATTCCATCCTCCTCCATAGACTGCTGATCATCCCTCACATACACCTCTTCTTCTTCTGATTTCACCTCAACTTTTATATCTGTCAGATCTTCACCCTAAACCAAGAAAAGAATGGACAATATCATCTTGAAAGGTCTCTATATCTTGTTCACGAGTCACTTTCACGTTCTAGATGCTCCGTCCCACCTA